TCCCTCCCCTCGACGCGTCTGCCCCGCGCGGCGGCAGGCAGGCAGCCACCGGTACCTCGAGTTCACTCTGTACAAGGAGAACCGCGACACGCTGCACGCCATCCTCCAGCTCGCTCAGTCGCTGCACGTGTCGCAGAACCTCTTCACCTTCGCCGGCACCAAGGACCGACGCGCCGTCACCGCGCAGCGCGTCTCCGCCTTTCGGCTGCCCGCGTCAAAGATCGAGCAGCTCATGGCGCGAAAGCCGTTTGGTGACTCGCTCGTCGCCAGCGACTGCACGTATGCCCCGGCGCCCCTCCGCCTCGGCATGCTCGGCGGCAACCACTTCACAATCACGCTGCGCGACGTCGACGGCAGCGACGCCGCTGACGGCGGCGGCGATGCCGGCGGCGGCGATGCCGGCTGCGGCGATGCCGGCGGCGGCGATGCCGGCTGCGGCGATGCCGGCGGCGGCGTTGCCGGCGGCGGCGTTGCCGGCGGCGGCGATGGCGCGCCGTCGCCTCTGGTGCCGAGCAACGTGCAGGCGGCATTGGAGGGCCTGCGGACACACGGCTTCCCAAACTACTTTGGGCTGCAGCGCTTCGGCGCCAACGTCGACGCTGCCACACATGAGGTGGGCGCCGCTCTGCTACGCGCCGACTACCCCCAGGCGCTGCGGCAGCTCGACGAGGGAGTGTGTCTAGGAAGTGTCTAGGAAGTGTCTAGGAAGCGTCCACGAAGTGTGTAGGCGCTGCGGCTGCTCCTCGCGCCGTCGCAGGACGACTCGGCAGAGGAGCTCGAGGCGCGGCGCATCTTCTGGAGCACGCAGGCGGCCCCCCTGCCCCTTCCCGGGGCCAGCGCGGGGGAGGGGCGCCCGCCTTGCCGAGGCGGCCTTGCGTCTCACTGGCCCCTCGTGCGTCACAGGACGCCGTCGCCGCGCTGCGCTTGCTGCCGCGGCGGCCGAGCGTAGCGCGGCAGCTTCTCGAAGGCTTGCGGGACAGCGGCTCGTCCAACGTGCTCGCGGCGCTCTCTCGGCTGCCGAAGAATCTGCGCTCGATGTATTTGCACGCGCTGCAGAGCTGGGTGTGGAACCACGCCGCGTCGGAGCGCTTGCGCCGCTACGGCTGCGAGGCGGCGGTCGAAGGCCTCCTCTGCTAGGCCGCGGGCCGGGCCGCACCGCCGCCCCGCCCGCGACGGCCCGCCGTGCAAGTATAGGCGACCTCGTGTTGCCACCCGATGCGGTGGCGGGCGGCGCGGCCACCGGAGCCGAGATCGAGGCGGTGGCGTGCGAGCTGGACGCGGGTGGCGGCGCCGCGTTGGCTGAGGAAGCGGCCGGCGGTGCCGACGGCGCCGAAGGTGCCGAGGGCAGTGACAGCGGCGTGGGCAAGGCGGCGAAGGGCGGCGACAGCGGGCCGCACGGCTTGCCTGAGCCGCACGTCGTGACTGCGGAGGAGGCGGCCGCACGCACCTACTCCATCGAGGATGTGGTGCGTGCTATACCCGTGTGTGTGGCTTGCCGTCGGGCGCTCTGCCACCTCTCCCTCGCCCGCTCGCCACCAGGTCTTGCCGCTGCCGGGGACCAAGGTGGTGATGCCGCAAAATGAGCTCGCCGAAGTGTACACCGAGCTGCTCGCCCGCCAGCGGCTCGAGCCCGCCTCCTTCCACCACAAGGTCAAGGAGATGGTGATGCCGGGCGCGTACCGGCGGCTGGTCCAGCGGCCGCGTGACCTCTCGTGGCAGTACTTTCGCTACACCGACCCGCGCGTGCCGCTCGCGCGCACCGATTTGGCCCGGCTGCGCGGCGATCCCGAGCCGCAGGGCGTCGCCGACGGGCCGCGCCTCGCAGTGGTGCTGCGCTTCACGCTGCCGCCGTCGACGTACGCGACGATGCTCCTCCGCGAGCTGACCAAGCAGTCCACCGACCTCACGCATCAGCTGGAGCTCAACCAGCCGCACGTTGCGCCAACGAGCGCCGAACATGCAAAGGAGGAATGATTTCTGCCGCACGCGGGTGGATCTAGTTTGGTGTTCCTTTCGTTTCTAGCCTCCTGCTTGCGTGGGTAGGGCCGAGTCCTTGGCTTACGGGGCGTTGTGTAATGGTAGTAAAAACGATCAGGTGTTGGCATTTACATCATTTCTTCGCGTCTACTAACGTGTGGGTGCATTCGTGCACAAAGCAGATACCAGACCTCGGTTTCCCATAGGGTTTCTGCTCCGGTTTCCCATTGCGGTTTCGCATAGCCGAAAACCCAGGGGTCGGTCGGTTTCTGCGGTGCGCTCTGTTTTTTCTGGGATCTGTTTTCTGGGACACCCGCCTCGATTTCCCGCGGGATCTGCCCGTGGGTCTGGTTTCTGCGGTGTGAATACATCTCCCGCTTCGTCCTAATGAGCTCATTCCGGCCAATGAACAGGTGTACCCCCGTCCGTACCCGGGGGTATCGAGCACGAAATCACAGAGAGAAAGAACATTGCGCGTCACGCGATCTGTTATTCTGGGATCTGCTTTTTCGGTCCCCGATGGCGAGCTGGCTCGACGATCTCGGTCTCCACGAGCTCGAACACATCAAGGATGGCGCAAGTGCCTTCGCGCAGGAGCTCCACCCAATCAACTCGGCGGAGGATTTCATCAGCTTCGTGGTTGCGCTCAACCTCTACCCACCTGGGACGCCCTTACGCGCGGAGCGTATTGCTGGGGAGATGCCGGCAGGCCTTTCCGCTCCTGCGGTGCGGTATCTGCTAAAGAAGCTGCCCATTGTCGATCGGCTTGCCTCTCAGCTTCGCGACGACCCGAGCCGCAAGACCGTTCGGCTCGTGCCGGACGTAGAGCACTGCGTGGCGTGTGGCCTCGCTGGGGAGGCGGTACCCCTGGTGGTCAAGTGGGGTAGCAGGTGCTCATCTCCAACGGTCTATGCGGAGCACGGGCGACTGAAGGGCGAGCTCAATGGCCTCTCCTGCCCTCGGTGCTCCGCGTGGCACAGCATGTCGTACGCTGAGGGCGGCACGCGCATCCCAGCTGGCAAGCAGGTGCCCTACCCAGGGGCGACTGCATCCTCACGCCGCTGGGTCCAGCTTTCCCAGAGCACCGTGTTCGAGAACTCGCTGCTCGACAGGTTGTCGGCACAGATGGTGCATTCTCACACCGGCTTCGAGACCTTCTGTCACGAGTGGGCAATGCGGTGCGGCGAGTCAAAGGACCTCGTCCATACAATGCGACAACGCCTCGGGCACACCTGGCTAGCGTGGTCGCTCCTGCGCTGGCGCGACGAGAATGCGTCGCGGGCGGGGGAGCCGCTACCATCCGAGCCGCTGGGCTTCACATCCGAGGAGCAGCTCGATGCGACTTTGCTCAAGCAGTGCCAAGGTCGAGATGCGAGTGGCCGCCTCCAGCCCGAGTGCCTGCTGTCCCGCTTTACCGCATTTTGGGCGGGAGAGCACGCGTCGCGCTGCCTCAAGCCGGTGCCTGGCAGCAGTACGTGCGACTGCTACATCATCGATGGACACCATAAATATCGGCGCAAGTGCTGTTCCAACCGGAACGCGCGCGTTGTCGATATGGGCAAGCACGGAAAGGCGACTTTGGGCTGTTCTGGCATGCCCGTCCCTGGATCGCGCTTCTGTGTACGTTGCCGTCCCTTTGCGGCGCGTCGCACCGACCAAACCGCGGAGCTGGAGCCGGGCAATCAATCGACGGTCACTGTCGACTTGTCCGCGAGCGAAGGGCTTGCAGCCGCGTTCAATCTCCGCCTCGCAAAGCGACGACGGGCTGCGCGACAGGCGTCCACCAAAGACTCCCGTGTCTGCGAGCCCTGCGACGACGAGGCGATCTGTGAGCCATGCGCCGAGGAGTCGGCTGCCGTGCCTCCTGGACATGTCTTTGACTTTTGCATGCTCTACACTCTCCCACATGTCGAGGCGATCGAGTCCTCGATCCCTGACGCTGGTGCTGGCCTCGGCACGAAGAAGGCGTTTTCCGAGGGAGAGGTTGTAGTTCACATGGAGCACCAGACAGCAGTCGACGAGGAGGTGCAGTCGTGTGTCGAGATGCGCGAATCGTGCCTGCCCTATGTTCATGCCATGTGCTTGCCATGTCCATCCCATGTGTCGGCTGCGCCTAGCTGCGCCTTTAGGAACGACCATGCTCTAGAGAGCTCATAAACAGACAACGCAGTGCGCTTAGCATGTGCGCTGGCTTGGCGCGTGGTCTCTGTACACACACACACGACACAAGAGTGCGCGCAACAGCAGGCCGCCACTCACACCGTGGGCACGCTCACACACGTAGCACAGGCCGCGCTCACGGCACGGCACTGAATGCGAGGTAGCGTGGCAGTGACATGGACGACGACATGGGACGCCGCCCTCGGCGGAGATGACTACGATGCATTTAGGAACGGAGGATGCACTGCGGGCTGGCGGCAGCGATCATCGCCCACGGTGGCGGTGGCGCTCCACATGCGACTCTAAGCGATGGCGGCCTCCATCGGACACCAGCAAGCCGGCCTATTGGCGCTTCTTCTGCCGTGCAAGCACCTTGCGAGCGTCTTCGTATGGGCAGTACTCTCCAAGAGGCAGAGGCTTCTGCTCTGGCACGCAAAAGACCGGGGCCCACTTGCGGTCCGCCATGATGTATGCCTTATACTTCGAGAGAGAGAGAACGTACTTCGAGAAGCTGCCTTCAGCAGCCTTCTTCACGAGGTTTTCCATTTGGGTTATGGCGAACGTGTCTGGCAGGCTTTCCGACGCGGCAAGGAGTTCGACGGCCAGAGCGGGTGATGCGCCATTGCCAACCACAAATCGGAAGAGTTCGAAGCGCTCGCGATTGTCGAGCCGCTTGGACCGTCCGAGGCGCTGCATGTCGTAGTCATGGCTGCGAGGGTCCTTCGACCAGGTCGTTGGCCAGAAGTGCAGGTCGCCAATGGCATTCTCAACGTCGGACAGGGCGTCGGCGTGCCAAACGCCGAGTGCCTGGCGCTTGAGCAACTGAACGCTGGCCTGTTTTGCGTCAGTCTCACAGAGGAGCGACACTGTGCGCTGAGGCACCGTAGTGAGCCGCTTCTCGTCGCCGTTGAGAGGTGAAAGCAACGAGGGGCGCTCCATCGCACTCGATATCGCAGAAACCAGAAACCAGAACGTTACCAAGGGTTCCTCCCACCCAGAACATGCTGCTGTCTTAGTACTCCCGTTCGACCCATTCGGAATCCGATTAGTTAATGAGGGGTCATTCCGGCGGAATGACCCCTCCGGGAGATCGTTCACACCTCGAAAAACCAGAACCCAGAGCGTCTGGACCGATATTCCCATGGCCCGGATGTGATCTGTGGGATATGTCGAAAAAGCAGAATACAGAGCTCCTCCTCCTAGAAATCAGACGGTTTCTTGATAGCTGAAAGCCAGGGAAGAGCCTGGTATCTCAGTATGTTATATCCTATGATATAACATAGTGGGATCTGGTTTATGCACACCTCTGTGGGTGTACTCCATTCATTTTGCCCGCGGGACACCGATCTGAGCCTCTTGAGCGATGAGCGATGACCCATGACCGATGAGTGTGCGATGATCGGACAACGCGCGCCCACCTGCGCGCCACCCGCACTCCCACACCCTCCAAGTCTCAAGACGGAAGCGTGTTGACAATCAAAATCTACGAGCTCATCAGTAACCAGCCTCCGGCGGGGCCCCCCGCTACCATCCAAACCCGAGTACCGGTCTACTAATCATAGATAGAGGCTCAAGTGTGACATAAGTCCACACACATTCGACATACACATGCACAAAGCAAACTCTCACGACACACGGCAACCGGGTGGAGCGGCGGCGGCGGCGGCAGCAGCACGCGCGGGCGGACGGATTCGGACGGGGCGGAGCAGCGGCCGCCCAGGCGGCCGCTGCTCTGTCTGCCAGAGCGCGCCGTCTGCCTGCGCAGCTCGAGCGCGGTCAGGTGCAGGGAAGCGTGGCGGCGCGGGGAAGCGCGGCGCGGTGGTGGCGGCGGCGGCGGCAGCGGCACGCGCGGGCGGACGGATTCGGACTGGGCGGAGCAGCGACCGCCTGGGCGGCCGCTGCTCTGTCTGCCAGAGCGCGCCGTCTGTGCGCAGCTCGAGCGCGGTCAGGTGCACAGGGAAGCGTGGCGGCGCGGGGAAACGGCGGCTCGAGCGCGGTCAGGTGCACAGGGAAGCGTGGCGGCGCGGGGAAACGCGGCGGCGGTGGCGAGCAGGCGAGCGGCCCGCGCGCGGCGAGGCGGACAGGTGATCGGCAGGCGGGTGATGGGCCGGAGAGTGACCGCGCCCAGCGATCGGAGAAGACGAGCCGATCGTCGCTCGGCCGCAGCTGACCTCGAAGGCGTGCGGAGCGCGACTGTCGGTGTCGGAGGGCGGCCGTCATGTGGCGAGGAGGGAGGACGACAAGTGCGCGTCGTACGGGTCGCTCTTCATCGGCCAGTCGAGCGGCACTCAAGTCGAGACCGAGCATGGGCGACGAAAGCCGGTGGGGGCGGTGCGGCCGGCGAGATTCGTTGCGAGATACGGTCGCGCCCAAACAAGTTTGGACGCTCTGTGGACGCGCCGAAAAACCAACTCGATGGAAAGGGGGCTACTGGGGCGGCCAATTCACACCTCGCGGGACTACTAATGTTTTCGTAAACGTAGTCGTGGCCCCCCGCTACGTCGCACGACTGCGACTGGGTAGCGGGGGGCTAAAATTTGCGGCCGCCACTCGAAATTTGCCCCCGGTGCCCGGATCGAACTCTGTACTTTGATTGGGGCCAACATCATGTTGGTCTGGTGTATCGGCAACGCATCTGTTCCACTTGGCGACCTCCACCTGCGCCGTGGGGTGCGGGCGCACGCGAACAACATCTCGCAAACAGGAGTTGGTGTGGGGGGGGGGGGGGGGGAATTGGGAAGAAAGCTGGGGCGCACGGGGCGGCGACGCACCTGGGCATTGGCGACAAGCAACTGCACGTAGAAGCTGAGTCTCGCTGACGCGGAGGCGCGAATGTATTCGCCCAGAAAAGTGGAGCACCAACATTTTCTTTCCATGCACGACGGCTGCGTAATGTTGCTTTGCGGCTTCGTTTGAGTTGTTGTCCAGTCTCTACACACGGGTAATCAACCCCGCTCCAATCGCCGAACTCGAACGGCGGGCGCTTGACGAACCTGGGGGGAACGGGCGTGGCAACCACAACCACGTCGGGCGTGGTTGTGGCAACTCATGATCGAACCAGCGACTCATAGAGTCGAACCACGACTCATAGAGTCGAACGTAACCACGGCGGACGTGGTAGTGGCAACCACGGCGGACGTGGTTGTGGTCGGTCATGATAAAACCGGAAAGGAATAACAAAAGCCACCCCCACGACTGAAAAGTCTTAATGGACCTGTCCTAGACTCTGTGGCTGAAGTAGCGTGTGCGTCGAAGCCACAAGAGGGCTGGCATAGTTCGGTCCTTACTCGTCAGGGGGGTTGGCGTATTTTAGTTTTCTGAGCGGTTGATGAGACTGTGAAACGATCGCCGCAAGGGGCGTGAACGCACAAGTGCGTAATGACCGCAAGTGGTCGTGAACACCCCAAGGGGTGTGAAAGTAAATACTCCACTTATTTACAGATACCATACCAGCAAAGTACCCGAATCCAACTGCACGTGCCCAAGCGCACACCGGCCGGAGCGCCACCGGGGGGTGCCGCCCTCCCGTTCATGAGCCCAACAACACGAACGCTATCCATCCTCACCGGCCCCCATCCCCGTGGTCGGCCTCGCTCGCCGCGCCAAGCCGCGGTCCGGTCGTCCGCCCCGCGGCTGCCAAGCCCAAGGGCGGGGAGGGGGCCACCCGCGCTCGCGCAGCTTGATAGAGAAATCGCCCCGGGTATGCCTGACTGTACCCGTGCGAGCCCCGCAGAGGTGCGGGCGAGAGGGCGGCCCGAGCCCGAAAGGGCCCGCCCTCGGCGTTGCTCTACATGGTAACGGATAAGAAGAGAAACACCCCCGGACTGGGACGCCGGCAGTCGAGTCGGGACACGCTGTGGTTCAGACGTCCCCCCCCTCGACGCAGTCGAGTCACTGACATGAATAGGGAGGAGAAAGTGTCCCCCACATATCACCACAGACGCAGCACAGGGGCTCCAATCCTGTCCCAGCCTGGGGGGCCTCGCTAGATCTCCAGTGGGGAGTGCGAGGGCTGGATCGACTGCAGTGTGGGTTGTGGACCGTCGGGATAGCGTGTGGCGTAGATGTTCTCCTGGAAGTAGAGAGGCCGATGTCTCTCGCCCTGCAGGAAGGAGAAACTCGAATGGTTGAGTGAAAACTCCTCCCTGCGGTATGTGCGCAGTACGGGTTGCGCTATGTGCAGCACGGTGTTGAGGGCTCGGGAGGGCAACGACGGCGGCGTTGCCGAGCTCGTACAGGGGCCTCAATCCTGTCCCTGATGGGGTGCGCCTCTCGCCGCGCGCGTAGCAGTCGGCGCGCGGGTAGCCTCAGAGATGCGCAGAGCGAGATGCGGTTATCGGCGAACCAAGCCCTGGGCTTGGATAGGGCGCGGCGTAGCCGCGGCGCAGTGGATAGCGTGAAGAGCCCACTCACTGTCGTGAGCAGACCGCCGCTACCACGTGCGAGCCCCGCAGAGGTGCGGGCGAGAGGGCGGCCCGAGCCCGAAAGGGCCCGCCCTCGGCGTTGCTCTACATGGTAACGGATAAGAAGAGAAACACCCCCGGACTGGGACGCCGGCAGTCGAGTCGGGACACGCTGTGGTTCAGACGTCCCCCCCCTCGACGCAGTCGAGTCACTGACATGAATAGGGAGGAGAAAGTGTCCCCCACATATCACCACAGACGCAGCACAGGGGCTCCAATCCTGTCCCAGCCTGGGGGGCCTCGCTAGATCTCCAGTGGGGAGTGCGAGGGCTGGATCGACTGCAGTGTGGGTTGTGGACCGTCGGGATAGCGTGTGGCGTAGATGTTCTCCTGGAAGTAGAGAGGCTGATGTCTCTCGCCCTGCAGGAAGGAGAAACTCGGACGTTGGAGTGAAAACTCCTCCCTGCGGCGTGTGCGCAGAACGGTTGCGCATGTGCGGCATCATGTTGAGGACTCGGGAGGGCAGCGACGGCGGCGTTGCCGAGCATGTACAGGGGCCTCAATCCTGTCCCCGATGGGGTGCGCCTCTCGCCGCGCGCGTAGCAGTCGGCGCGCGGGAAGCCTCAGAGATGCGCTGAGCGAGAAGCGGGTATCAGCAGACCAAGCCCTGGGCTTGGATAGGGCGCGGCGTAGCCGCGGCGCAGTGGATAGCGTGAAGAGCCCACTCACTGTCGTGAGCAGACCGCCGCTACCACGTGCGAGCCCCGCAGAGGTGCGGGCGAGAGGGCGGCCCGAGCCCGAAAGGGCCCGCCCTCGGCGTTGCTCTACATGGTAACGGATAAGAAGAGAAACAGCCCCGGACTGGGACGCCGGCAGTCGAGTCGGGACACGCTGTGGTTCAGACGGTACCTACATACGGTCATGAAGTGCCGGCGCGAGATCTTTCAGCAGCGTGAGGCGACGTCTTGGAGCAGCACACCCGAATACTTCTCTCGCTGGGCAGACGCCACGCTTTGGGCAGCCACGCTTGACTCGAGCGTCGTGGATGTTCGCGGCCGCCCTCACGGCCCTCGCCAGCAGCTCGGCGTCGGGCAGCAGCCTGCCGCCCGTCGCGCGACGCCAGTCCTCGCGCCACTCTCGCAGCGCGGTCGCGATCCCCGGCCAGAGACGGCTCTCGCAGCTCTCGCGGCTCCGCGGTGGCGCTGAGGACAAGGTGGACGGGCACTGCATCGGGATAGACCTGGGGACGACGTACAGCTGCGTCGGCGTGTGGCAGAACGGCCGCGTCGAGATCATCGCCAACGACCAGGGCCACCGCATCACTCCGTCGTACGTCGCGTGGACGGACGACGACCAGAGGCTGATCGGCGACGCGGCCAAGAACCAGGCGGCGTCCAACCCGCGCAACACCGTCTTCGACGCGAAGCGGCTCATCGGGCGCAAGTTCGACGAGCCCGCGGTGCAGGCCGATATGGCGCACTGGCCCTTTTCGGTCGTGGACAAGGGAGGCAAGCCCGCGATCCGCGTCGGCGCGAGGGGCGACAAGGAGATGATGCCAGAGGAGATCTCGGCGATGGTGCTGTCCAAGATGAAGCAGGTGGCGGAGGACTACCTCGGCGAGAAGGTCAAGTACGCGGTGGTGACGGTCCCCGCCTACTTCAACGACGCGCAGCGCCAGGCGTGCTGAAGCAGCGACTCTTGCAACTTCCCCAACTGTCTCGCACCCCACACACGCACACACGCACACGCACACGCACACGCACACGCACACGCCAGCGCGGCCCTCCCTCCCTCCCTCTCTCCCTCCCTCCTCCCTCCCTCCCTGACCACACGCTTCTCTTCACCAGGCGACCAAGGACGCAGGAACCATCGCCGGCCTCAAGGTGGCCCGCGGGATCTGCAAAGCCGAGATGATGCCGCGAGAATGCCGCGTATGATGCGAGGATACCGAGATGACGCCGAGATGACGTCGAGATGGCGTCCGATATGACGACCGAGAGGACCCGAGAGGACCCGGGAGGACCCGGGACTGGGCTTTTGAGGTGCTCCGCGTCATCAACGAGCCGACCGCCGCCGCGATCGCATACGGCCTCGACAAGGCCAGAGGGGGAAAGGGCGAGCAGAACATCTTGGTGTACGACCTGGGCGGAGGCGCGCGCCGCGCCGAGATGCGGAGCCGATGCCTCTCCTCGACTCTCCTCGAGATGCCCCGAGACGGACACCCGAGATGGCTCGAGCTGACGCCTCGCAGGCACCTTCGACGTGACAATGCTCTCCATCGAGGATGGCGTCTTTGAGGTCAAGGCGACGGCCGGCGACACGTGCGCCCGAGATGCACCCGAGATGCACCCGAGATGCACCCGAGATGCACCCGAGATGCACCCGAGATGCACTCGAGATGCACTCGAGATGGGCCAAACCGAGGGGCGAGACGGGCGCTACCCGAGAGGAGAGGTTGCCCCATGAGGCGCAGGGACCCGGAGAGGGGTTGTCTGCCCGCCCCTCGAGTGTCTCCAAAGAGCAGCCTCTCCACCTCGCCCCCCGCTGCTCCGCGCAGGCACCTCGGCGGCGAAGACTTTGACCAACGCATGATGGCGCACTTTTGCAAGGCACTTTTGGCCGCGCGAGCAGAGGCCGTCCGCAGGCCGCCCGTCGCCCCGAGTGGCTGGATCCCCCCCTCGCAGGTCTTCGAGCGCAAGAGCAAGCTCGACATCTCTGCCGACCCACGCGCGATGCAGCGGCTGCGGCGCGCGTGCGAGAACGCCAAGCGCACGCTGTCGACCGCGACGTCCGCGACGGTCGATCTCTCGAGGACGGACATCGGCCCACCACCGCGAGCAGCGTCTGCTTCACACCGTCGCGCTGTGAACAGGTCGAGCTGGAGGCGCTCAAGGACGGCGTCGACCTGCGCGAGACAATCTCGCGCGCGCGGTTCGAGGAGCTCTGCCTGGACTTGTTCAAAAAGACCATGGCGCCGGTGACGCAGGTGCTCCGTCCCTAGACGAGCTTCCGCGAGCTTCCGCGAGCTTCCGCGAGATTCCGCGAGCTTCCGCGAGATTCCGCGAGCTTCCGCGAGATTCCGCGAGATTCCGCGCCTAGATGGGGAGCACATGTCTCTCGAGTCACGCGTCTCTCTGCGACTGACTCTTCCCGATACTCGCGCATCAGTGTCACTCACCTCCTAGCAGTGTCACTCACCTCCTAGCAGCAGTGAGAGGAGCAGCGGTGGGGGCTCTCAAGGACGAGATCAACCGAGAGCATCCGAGAGCAACCGAGAGCACCCGAGAGCACCCCAGATTGCTGGGGACGCACAGCCACGCCCCACAGAAAATAAAACTCGCCCTCTCTTCCCGTCGCTCCCCTCCTCCTTCCCGACCTTGCACACCAGCCTGCCCCTGCCCCCTCCACAGGTCCTCAAGGATGCCAAGAAGAGCAAGGCGGAGATCGAGGAGGTTGTCCTCGTCGGCGGCTCCACCCGCATCCCAAAGGCGCGGCCGCTGCGTCGCCAAAAGCAGGCGTCCCATACCCACACATGACCCGAACCCTATACCGCCCCGATCCCGCAGGTGCAGCAGCTGCTTACCGAGTACTTCAACGGCAAGGAGCCGAACAAGGTCTTGCTACCGCCGCGCCACCCCCCCCCCCACACACACACACACACCCCACGCCGCGCCCGCCCTCGCACCCTCCCGAGCACCCACCGCCTCCCGCAATCCCCCCCCCAAGGGCATTAGTGTCCCTCCACCCCCCACCCCCCACCCCCAGGGCATCAACCCTGACGAGTCCGTGGCGTACGGCGCCGCGGTGCAAGGAGGGGTCCTCTCGGGCAAGGCGTCCGAGGACACAAAGGACCTGCTGCTGCTCGACGTGGCGCCGCTCTCGCTCGGCATCGAGGCGAGCTCTCCCTCCCGAGCTCACCCGAGATTATACCCGAGATTATACTCGAGACTATACCCGAGAGTACCCGAGATTAGCCGAGATTAGCCGACACGGCATCGAGGCGAGCCCTCTCCCCCCTGCCCTTCACAAAAGCACAAGTTCGGGCCCGAATCGCACACTCTGCCCTTCACCCTCCCCCCCCCCCCTGAAGTGAGGAGT